GCCGTCGGCACAACCCAGTTGCCTACTGTTGCACTGAAAGAAGTCCAAAACCCAAAAAACAATGAGAAAAAAAGAAAAGAAAAGGATAACCTGGCAGAAACAATGATTTGCCGGGCCACACCGGACCTCCCACCTCTACGTTGTTCGATTCAGGCAAACATATTTCAAAACATATGCCATTTTTGAACCAATAACACCAATATCCATGGCAAAACTAGATGGTTTTGTGTGTGAAACAAAACAAAAATTGGAAAATTGCCATGACAAAAATATGGTAATTAACATGGCATAATATTTAACTATGATCAGTTATTTTTCTTTCCATGGTCAATTACTAAATTTATCATGGTCAATAACTAAAATTTCCATGATCCATAAACTAAATTTGACATGATCAATTATTAAATGTTTTGAGATCCATGCATTAACTAAATTTGCTATTGTCTATGTAATAAATTTGCCATGGTCTAGTTAAAAACTAGTTTTTCCATGGCAAAACTAGTTGTTCTTTACCAAGCTATGAAAAAATTAGCATGGTCTAAAAAACAAAGGTTTTTTTGTCATAATAGAGAAAAGAAGATAGCGTGGATTGTTTAGTGAAATTTCCCATGGTTCATAGAAAACAGAACTTCTCATAAGCGATGAAATTTAATTGTCATGTTTTATAAAGTAAATTTACCATGGTGCATAAAAGCAAAACTACCAATGAAATTATGAAAGTAAAATTTGTCGTGGGTGTGAAGCTAATATGCCATGGCAAGTAAAAAGTAAATTTCCCATGTATATGAAGGGTAGAATCGCCATGGAAATAAAGTAAAATTTGCGGTGGAAAATAAAAAAGGTAAAAAATTGCAATATGGTTCAGAGTGTGGTAACTATTTGGTCAAACAAACATCTTCCTGTCTTCATATGCCTTTTTATTTTTGGTTATTTGTGAGAACTTTTAGTACATGTCTTTGTCATAGCTAGAACTTCTGACAACTTTGAAGCAAGAATGTTAAGAGAAATTGTTCCATAGAATAGCTAAACGATAATACTATTATTGATTTATGATAGTTTGCACATACAGAAATAGATATATTCAAGCCTGTAATGGCTAACGGCCAAAAGTATGAATCTATTCTTGATACTCTTTTCCCCTTCTCTTAAAATCGTCATGTACAAATTATAAGCTTTCTAACATCTGCATATTTCAGGTTTCCAAGGAGGTACAGAAAGCGAAGTTCAAACAATTCAGTGCAGCAGCAGCAGCAACATCTCCAAGGTGAGAAATATGTTCCTATTTATCTTTCTTTGCTAGTTTTGTTCCTCTGCTGGGCATCGGCCATGATCTCCATGTCGCCACTAAGGCCATGGCTCCTGGGATCCAGGACGATGGAATCGCATGGTCTAGGCCACTATCGATTTGTTTCTCTTGGTCGATGGCCTCTTTCGCCTATGGTCGGATCTGCGCGTCAGCATCCACAGGAGGACTAGGATATGGCTGTGCTCCACGACCATCACAACCGAGCTGGGGAGCGCCAGAGATCACAACTTGAAATTTTTCACTACAATATTTGTTGGTCAGTATCCTCCTCTGAAATTGTTTGTAAGGTAGTGCCTAATTCTGTATAGCATCCTTGGAAGATTGTGTGGTGTGATGCTTTATTTATAAAGCGGGGCGTAGTGCCCTTTTCGTTATTCTGTATAGCAAAGGGAAAGAGCCTCAGTTTGGTATAGCAATGGGGTGATCCTTCGTTGGAAGAAACATTGGTGTGAAACAGGTATACTTACTGTTTTTTTATTCTAGCATAGTGTTGGTTGTTAATTTTAAGCGTATCATCAGTTTTTTCAGCCAATGAAGTTATGCTCACGACATGGAGAACTTCAAGGACAACATGCCTGAACAGTGTCTACCTGATTAGTGAACTAGGCCATTTACTATACAAATAGTTATTTTGTTGCAAGTTACGTCCGTTGCTTCTAAATACTGCACTTTTGATTGCAATTTGCAACTAAGAATGACACAAGCAGACGCTAAAACATTCGAGCAATGCCCAAGGTTAGTACAGGAAGCAAAGTAGTTTGCTTTAGTAGAAATTATATTCCTTTTTCCACTACTGTGAACATGGACGTGAGTAGGTAATTGCTCCTAAAAGAAACCTAATTAATGTATTGTTGAACCTAATTTTGAGATGATTTTTATTCTACCATTATACAGTGCACATTAGCATCGTCTAAATACACATGTCTCTGGGGGTTTCTTTTTGGTGCAAATTGATTCTTGCAATCATAGCGGAAAGGCCAGCAATAAGGCACTTTACACTGATGAAATTTGCATAAGTATTCCTCTTTGTGATAAGATTTCACCAAAAGTTTCAACATTAAGATGTTTACTTAGTTAAATCCTGAACTGAGGCACCCACCCATACATGTATAAGCTCCAAAAAATAAAACAATCTGCAAAGAATTTTTCAGCTTTCAGACTATAAGCGTTAGACATTATCATAAGAAATGTTGAATGTTAGTATCAATTGAATCAATTTGACCTTACACGCAGTGTAGGTACTGTTAAATCTGTAGTTGTAATTTATTCACCTGTAACTTGATTTTCTTTTCTCTTTTCTTTTTATAAATTCATGTAGTCGGCTATAATAATGATATTTTTTTCTTTTGAGAGAGAAATTGTGTGTCTGCTCTGGTTTCAGTTTTGACATCAGCTCGGTACAATAAGTAACTACTTATAGACTACTTCATCCGGATGGGTTTGCAACTTTGTGTACAGACTGCTTCAACACTTCTATTTTCTATAGGACTTGTATTAATAATCTCCAACAATATGGTCATGCTTCTTATATTTACTTTCAGTTCTAAATACATTTGTGCTTTTCTCTATGTTGTACTACTAAACTATGTGTGCTAAAATAAACATAAAAATATGATGGGGTGGTGGTTTCAGCCACAGAAAGAATTGATTTGGAGAACAAAGTGAATTTTCGGCAGACGAAGAACTCGCTCGAGATGCTCCAGTGATGATTTTATATAGTGTTTTATCTAAACATGGGTTCCTTCTTTCAGACTGGGCGGTGCCATATGATGTGAAGCTGGTGTAATAACTTTTTCATTTGGCATCGGTGGTGATGTGGCAACCTTTTAGACAATTTGGCAGTTGTAACACAGTGGAAGACCTCATACGAGCTGGTTGCCTTCTTGGTAGTTGTTGCGGCTTCTGAATTAAGTGTACCACTATGTTTAAAACGCCATGATCAGAAGTTGTGGTGGGTGTACCGATTAACTCTTATTACATGACTATTCCTAAGATTGATTCTTATTGGGCTAAGGGCATGTGATTTCGTTCTCCCGGTGCAATGCACGGGCCCTTTCACTAGTAATTAAAACATGGGAACATCGTGAATGTCACCAGAATGCTAAACATTTTCAATTATGAAAATGAAGACTAAACGTTTTCTTAAGCAAGAGGGGGGCTGGCTTTCTATGTCTATTTCTATCGGTACGATGAAACTAACGGAGAGATGTTGAGCTTTTATCGGCTATTACCGTTGGAAACGGATCTGTTGATTGGAACCTGGCTGCTACATGGCATATGTGCTGACATGGGATGGCTGCATGTGGCATGAGTGCCCTGGCTGCTGACATGGCATATGTGCTGACGTGGGATGGCTGCATGTGGCATGAGTGCTCAGATGGATAATTGCATGTTTTTTTTAGTTGTTGATTGTTTTTTGAGGTAGCTATCTGCTTATTCCACGGGATGGAATAATTGCATGTTGAGATGAGATGGATAGACTGCATGTCTAGAGAATTGAGACCAACTTCTTAGGCTACTCATAGTGGGAGTAACATAGGTAGTAACATGCATGTCACATAGGCAAAAAAAATGATGTGACAAGTAATTAAAGAGAAGAGATACAAATAGAGTAACATAATATGTTAGCACCACATAGAGATTTTCAATGTAAAATGAGTCTACAAGGTAATAAGTGAAGCCTTCTATGTTACTCCCCACCGTAGACTAGCCTTAACAATGTGAGATGCGGACAGCTAGACGGGTAAGAGTGGTGGGCCTCTGTATTTTGGTTATTATCTGAAGAAATATAGTCACCGTATTTTGGATTTCTCAAATGTACATGACGGAAACTAGTAGTGGGATATTGGTTCTCCCACCTACGGGTAAGAGTGGCAGCTTAC